TATAATAGAGATAATAGTCCCACTTCATAGGGTCATGGTAGAAATAAATAAAACTAGGTAAGTAACCATGTTGCTGCAAAGTTGTAAGACATCATTCATTATTACTTATACCATTTGGGCACATCAATCATACTTTCTTAAACTACTGGAAAAAAACAATGTAAATCCCATTTCCACATGAAGATGAATTTTAAAAATAAACATAAGTGGTGTATTTGGTAATTTAATATATAAGCAAATGTGAATGTGTACAAACTTTCTGGAAAACTGTTTTATATGTATCATGAGCTTTTAAAAGTTCATGCTTCTGATCTAATATTTTCCATTCTTTTCCTAAATATGTTTTTAGGGGAAGGGAGAGGGAGAGAGGGATAGTAACATCAATGATCAGAGAGAATCATTGATTGGCTGCCTCCTGCACGCCCCCCCCACTGGGGATTGAGCCCGTAACCCAGGCATGTGCCCTAACTATGACCCCCTGTTCATGGGTGGATGCTCAACCACTGAGTAACACTGGCCAGGCCAATAATTTCCATTCTAAGACTCTATCCCATAGAGTTAGAGATGTGTATAATGTTTTCTATGAAGATGTTATCACAACATTATTTACTAGAGGCCCGGTGCACAAAATTTGTGCACTCAGAGGGGGGTGTCTCTCAGCCCGGACTGCACCCTCTCGCAGTCCAGGGCCCACAGGGGATGACCCTATGGGGAGTGGGCCTAAGCCATCAGTCGGATATCCTTAGTGCTGCCGCAGAGGCTGGAGAGGCTCCCACCACTGTTGCTGCACTAGCCAGCCATGAGCCTGGCTTCTAGCTTAGCAGTGCTCCCTCTCTGGGAGCACCCTGACCACCAGGGGACAGCTCCTGCATTAAGCATCTGCCCCCTGGTAGTCAGTGCATGTCATAGAGACTTGTCGTTCTGCTGTTTGGTCGATGTGCATATTAGCCTTTGATTATATAGGATAATAGTGATACATTTCATCATACATTAATTATAATAATGATCTGTTATACTTAAATAAAGAATAATTTGCAATAAATTTTGGAATAGTCACATGAGTATAACATACAAGCTTAAAATTGTTCTCAAAGACTTATAAATAACATTAAAGGATTTATAATATAACATTAGGTGAAAAAAGGAAAACACCATCTTGTATATAACTATTTCGTTTAAAAATTGAGTTACATATAAAAGTCATAAAAGGAAATGCATCAAATACATATTACTTTAAAACTAACATTATTTTTATTTCTGTATATTCTATATATTATGTCTTTTTGTATATTCTAAATTCTACTTAGTAATTATATTCCTTTAAAGTTAGAAAAGTTAGAGAGCAGGTTGATAGGTATCTGGGCTGGAGGCTGGGTGGATGGAGTGGAGGGATTGAGCAAAAAAGGAAAAAAAGAGAAAAAACTCAAGGACAGACAGCATTATGGTGATTTCAGGGTTGGGGTGGAGGAGGTAAAGGGGGTGTAAATGGTGAGGGATGGAGACTTGACTTGGGTGGTGAACACACAATAGAGTGAACAGATGTATTGTATAATTATGCACTTGAACCTGTATAATTTTGTTAACGAGTATCACCACAATAAGTTCAATAAAAGGGAGGAGGGATAAAGCTAGAAAAAAGTTTTTTTTAAAAAAAATCAGTATAGACAGACAGATTTTACCTCAGAAGAGAAAGTATATGTATAACTTTTTTAAAAAATGTTATTCTTTTTTTTTTTAAATTTTATTGATTTTTTACAGAGAGGAAGGGAGAGAGATAGAGAGTTAGAAACATTGATGAGAGAGAAACATCAATCAACTGCCTCCTGCACATCCCCCACCGGGGGTATGCCCGCAACCAAGGCACATGCCCTTGACCGGAATCGAACCCAGGACCCTTCAGTCCACAGGCCGACGCTCTATCCACTGAGCCAAACCGGTTTCGGCAAAAATGTTATTCTTTAAGGTATTACAAATAGCAGTACATATATCTCTTTTATGAAAATCTATAAAGCAATGAAACAAGATAGAAATCACTTTGACAGCATCTTCTGAGAACCAAATAATAATCATTTTATTAATTTCCTAGAATTGCAAATTAATTGTTTAAAATAAAAATTTATAACAAAATTTTCAATTTCTTGGCTTAAAAATTGCTGTTCTTTGAATAATTAGTATAACTATAAAAAATTGTACGCTGTGGTCGAATGAAAAATACTATAGTCACGAAAGAATATTTACTGATGAAATCACCTATGGATCAGGCATTATATTAGCCTTGGGGGACAGAAGAAGGCCCTGCATCTCAGGAGGCCCACAGCCCAGGAGGGAAAACTCAAACAAGTCAGGAGTTACAATTCTACATGGAAATGTTATAGAAATACGTCCTTGATGTCAGAGATGCACATAGGTGTCACTTCCAGCTTCACTAAAGAGCTTAGTAGGAATACTGAGGAAGATTCCGAGACAAGATGTCTCTTCATCTAACTTTGAAAGGAAGAATTAGGAGTTTATCTGGAGTTTCCATAGACATCTTAAACTTCTTCTGTCTAAAACTGAGGCAAAAGAAGTAGAAGGGCAAGTTCACTTTCAGATCTTGATTGAAAATAGGGATCATGTCTTTCATCTCTTTATATCTTCAAAGCCCTACATAGTGTCTATAATTGATAATAAGTATTTTTTTAATAAATGAATTAATTAATGAATGGCCTTCCAGGCAGAAGGGCAACATTTTCCAGCAACTGAAGAAACGTATGCAGAGATTTGCCTCTGGTCACTCTGATGGCATTGTGGAGGGTGGGTTGAAATGAGGTGAAAATGAGGGAAGGAAACACATTATAAAACTGTTGCAATAATACTGATAAAAGTTAGTTGGGTCTGAAATAAAGCAGTGACTCCGGGGGTGAGTGAAAAAGTTTGATGCAGTGGAATTTAAGAAATAGGTCCATGACCTGTGCGGCTCAGTTGG